TTTTGAAATTGTAAAGTGACACTTGAAAAATGGCATTTTTTAAAATTTCTTTTTCGTATTTTTATTGAAATTATTACTTATGGCCTTAGATAACATGAATGATTTATTAAACATGTGCATTATATAAATAATATTATAAACAATTGTCACAATGAAATTAAAACATTAAGTAAAGTTCTATATATATAATATTATAATGTTTATCCTCTTCAAAGAAAATTCTGCATATTTTGTCTTTTAGTGTATTTTTCAAAAAAATTCATCTAACATTCTTCAAAGTTAAATGGTAACATAAATACAGTATTCCTCAACATTCTGCACAATTCCACCATTCTACATTTACCGGTTAGGGCCATAGTCTATACATAATGGAATATATTAAAGCCGTCAAGAATTATGCATTAGCCATAGAAAGAAACACAAAGAAAATTAACTATTCCATGAAAAAATAATAAAACATATTTAATCGTGAAACTTTTGTATATGTGATATGATAGTAAAACCAACATTCATGAATGAATGTTTGTTCTAGTTAGAGCTCATGAAACAGTATATATAAATCCGTATTGCAATTCGTTGGAATGCTTGATTATGGTTTCTCATCGGTCTAACCATCTATAAATAAATGCAAACGAAACGATAGAGATAGCAGTGGAAGGGTTAGAAAATAGATTGTATTGATTTTGTATTTAAAGTTGTACGAAGAATCATGAATTTTGCAAAAGTGGAGATGATAAGATTAACCTTGTAGAACAAGTTCATTGTTCCTAAACCCTCGGTTGGTCCTTGAGACAGATATAAAATGCATATAAAATATAGTAAAATTCATTGTAAAAGTGGTAAAAACAAAGTATATCAACTCCCATAAACTTAAACTCTTGCTTGTCCTCAAGAATATACCCGTTGTCAAGCTTAATTGGACATATGATTTGGGTCCAAAGCCCTTTTTTGGATATTATAAATTATTACTTCTGGGCTTTTATGAGCCAGATTTGGTACAATTCCAGCTCTAACACATGCTAAGTCTAGGAATTAAATGTTTGATGTTTGCTAGTTGTTGGTAATGATTGTTTAATATGTGGAAATTGTTTGATAAAATTGTATAGTGATAAGTAAAGAAAGAATGTTAACTATTATAAATGATTGTTTATGATTGTTAGTATATGATAGTTATGCAGACGATCGTGTACTTAAACTTGTTGCAAAAAAAAAAAATTTAGATTACAGACGATTGCATAT